CATCAATTTGCATGTTCAGTCTTCTATAATATTGATGAATTAAAAGAATTATACAATAGCTTTTATCCGTTTAATATTGCAATACTTAATTAAGAGGTAAAAAGTAAAAAGGTAATTTATAATGATCAATTTTAAATATGATTTATTAAATTTAAACAAATTTCACTTTACAAAAATCTCCTTATTGGGCGATTGAAAAAATTGTTATACAACACCATTCTGAAATATCTCAAACTTAAAGAAATTAAAAATATATTATGAAAACATATCCATATGGCTGAACACTCATGAAATTGATCATTTGTACTCAACTCTTAAATATCGCAAAAATGGAATGCATTAGCTATAGACGCGTCTTTACCAAATAATTATAATGAAAATAAATATTTGAACATATAATACTTCACGTCTTTTACTTTAATAAAGTTAACTTTAATTTTCAAGTCATAATACTTTAATTAAGGAATTCTTATAAATTATATTAAAATACTAAAAACAATGAACAATGAACAATAACAAATGTACGTGGAACTCATTATGTTGTGCTTTATTCAGTGTTTAAATAGACGCATTCATAAATAAGTTTTGAATTAATGTTAATTACCTTTACATGAGTTATAAGGATTACGTGCGTAATTCCGCTCGGCTAAACAGATTTCATTACGTGTCAACGTGTAGCCGCCCTTTGCCCTACAAACTGTGTGCATCTATTTGCCAGTTAGCATAATTTATATTTCTTTTCATAAAATGTCGGCGAACCCAATTTCATTTTCCCGCCTGGTACATCCTAAACTAAAAATAAGATTTATTTTCTATTTTTGTGCAGCCAACAAAAGTAAACAGCAAAGTTGGCAGTGCTAATTAAATGTGCAAATCCAACAACAAAAAGGCACAATAAATAACACATACACATGAGCAACATCAGGGCTCCAGAACACATAACATATACACATATGAACCACACGTACATCTTTTAATTTCCTACCAACCAAAATAAAAATAGAAAAAAGTTCAAATAATTTACTTGGAAAAAATATGGTTCTAATTTCAACAAACTTTCCATACTCAACGCAAGATGGCGTACAATAAACACGTGGAAAGCAATATATTAGGAATACATTTGCCCTAGGACGGTCAGGCCTCATTGACTATTGCAAAATATGGTTCTAATTTCAACAAACTTTCCATACTCAACGCAAGATGGCGTACAATAAACACGTGGAAAGCAATATATTAGGAATACATTTGCCCTAGGACGGTCAGGCCTCATTGACTATTGCAATGGGTGGATTGTCTATATGCCAAAATAATTTTAACAACAACACAGCACACTAAAAAATACATTTAATTAACGATATTAAAGTAATTTCACTTACGTAGCTCGTTTAAAATAGTTCATTACACAACACGAAACGCACGACTACACTTCGAGTAGGGAAGGCGCGCACATGAAGGCCAAATGCTCGCTTAAAACTATGCTATAAAAATTAAATTTCTTTGCAATTCAGCAACTTAAAAATTAATTCTATTGTGCGCTTGCTTTCTCTTCCCTTTCGTGTGTATGTGTGTGTGTGTGTGTGTGTGTGTGTGTATGCATGTGTGTCTTCATATTAACATTTGAAGAAGTTGCATACATAAGCCTCTAAAGTTTCTAAAGTGCTTAGCACTGCTCCAAAGTTCAGTTTCGACATTGTTAAAAAGGTAAATTGAGTTTTAAATTATGCACAACACTAACACAAGCACGCAAACGCAGCATAAAAGGAACATGCGATATGCTAATGAGCTTGAGTATAAAAACGAAAATGCATTGCATTAATTGAAACTTAATAGCGAAACGTTAAATTTTACATAACATCATAGAACAAGAAAGGTGCGCTTCAAAAAAAATAATATCAGAATATGAAAATTCATGTCTTTTCATTAAATAATAAAAACGATCTCCTCTTCGGAGCGCAATTGTGGCCCTAGAAGTCGCCTCCTCAATCTGGCAAAGAGGAAAATCGATGAAAACTCTTCGAAATTATCAAATAATTGAGAGATAAAATAAACAATCACTATAACTTCGAATTCAGATCATATAACAGAGCAACGATTCTCTGGAGAGAATCTGAATTTAAGTATCTTTGCTTTGACGCTTATACATTCTGTTCGCAAAAACAATAAGAAGTAAATCTAGTTATAATTAAAGAATATGAACTCAATAAGATAAACTTTTGTTAGTTTTCCGTACTGATGAAGATGAACATGAAAAATGAAAAACAAAAAACTCTATCTTAATGTCTCCAATTATCTCCACCGTTTTTATCAGATTCAAATTACTTTTTATACTCGTACTCCAACCTTTATTTTCTTTTTACAAATTTTAAACAAACGTCATAATTAATAAAAACATCAAGCTGGAAGTACACCACACTTAATAAGAGAACATGTTTGTATTATATATACTTCCAATGCAAATATGAAAAACTTAAAGAAAACTCCATCAAAAAATGATATAATATAAAATGAAATTGCTTTCTGGGTGCAGTTATTTTTAACATAAAGTCTGCAATAATCCACTTTAATCACTCCACGATAGTCACTTTAATGAACTATCGATGATGGATGCAACGGTGCACTAGATTTTGCTTTAGAGATGCATCTAGTTTTCAAAAAAACTGCTACGTATATTTAATTCAGTCCAACTAGTAATGAGATGAATTGTTTAACACAACTATAATTTCGACCAGTGGCGTAACTACAGGGAAGCAACTGGAAGCAACGCTTTCGGGCCCCCGAATTTAGGGGGCCCCACTATAAATTTTTGTATTCATTGTATTTATTTTTAATAAATTCTCAAAAGTGGGACAAACGTTTTTTGTTGGAATAACTTCATATTGCATTTTATAAAAGATACGTAAATTTTAAATTTAAAGTACATAATATGTATGTACTTCAAATAAAATATTAAACCTATTTATAAAATAAAAAACTTTTTCTAAGAAAAATATGTGTCTTAATCGAGAGTTTATATGGAAGCTATATCTAGATTTAAACCCATTTAAAAATAATTTTGTACGTTGTCTTTTGCAAATATCAGTACTGTATACACCAAATTCCATTTGAATTTATTAAAAACGGAGAAACTTCATATCCGATTGTTAAGTTTATATCACAGCTATAAGAAATAGACGTCCAATTTCAATCAAATCAAATGGTGAACAGGGTCGGCTCCCGAAAAGTATGTGTGTAAAGTTTCATTCGAAGAGTTCAAAAGCTGAGAGAGTAGTTTGAACTGAAAAAGTATATATATATTGTACTGATATATATTTAATGGTATTTTCGACGTATCCTTTAATGCGTTACGAAAATCTTGACAAACCTTATCTATTCTTTTCAAATTTTTTTTAGTGTAAAGAGTATAAAAAGAGGGGCCCCTTAATATGTTGGTAGGGGCCCCTTAGTTAGAATTTGCTTACAGGCCTAAAAAATGTAGTTACGCCACTGTCATCAGAATTACGATACGTCATCCTCATTGTTCTAAAAAAATATTAAACGTTTAATTATTAACAAAAAGAGACCTACAGCCAGATTAAAATTATAAACAGGTAGAAAAATAAATTTAAAAAATTTTATATTAATCTTAAGGACTATAATATCGTGTTAGCACAGTGCGTCAAATTGATCCACATATTATGTGAGATGTAATTACAATCGGTATCACCAATTTGCTAGTGGAAGCTAGTTTGGTTGGAAAAGGTTACTGGACGCGGTAAAAGACAATACACACATATTAAAATTAATTAAATAATTATAAACAAAATTTATTAATATATAGCCATATTTTTGAGAGTCCTTATAACATGTGTAGATATAAGAATATCAGATGTAAATAAGTCTTGTGACTATATATTGTAGTCGTTAACCAAAATAGAAACTTTGAAATAGTCTTAATATTGGTTACTTTAATGGACCGCTATTTATAAAAAACAGTCTCAACTGTATAATTAAATAAAAAGTATTAAGTTCTAGCTTTAAAACTACTGTAAAAATTTCTTTACCTTAAAATATATTTATTTAATATGTATTTAATTCTCTAGCACATAATTTCAGTGATAAAAAAAAATTTTTTATCTTATATATGTGTATAATATATAATATATGTACTACTATATTTGTCGTTCGATTCATTTCGGTAAGACTCAAGTTCCTCTTACGGCTATTTGTCAGTCATTTTTGCTTATATATGAATCAAAATATACTTACTTTGAATTATTATCAGTTCGCACTACAACGTTTAAGAAGTATTTTTGCAATCGAACTCAAATATTATAATGGCTTTCAATATGTTTAAACTTCGTTATCAATTTTTTTCAATGTAACTTTAAATTTGAAGATTTATTTTTTTCCTGACACAACTAATTGTTTTGTGATTTTAAATCAACAATTCAGCATATAAAATTTTTATTTACTTGACATTAATTTCATATGATACACAAATTGTTATTCCAACAATCATATACAATTTATCTGTACTAAAAGAAAAATATTTTCCACAAATATTTTAAAAATTTATCAAAAATTGTAAAATATTTGAAAAATTTGGTAGCACTGTTTTTAATGACATTTAAAGATAATTTTTTCTTTGAATTTTGTCATCGTGGCTACTTTCTTTGTTGTTGCTTCATTACAAGCTGCTTATGTTGACAGCTGCGCATTTAAAAATATATTGTACTCGTTCTAACGAATTAACATTAAACGAAGATAGCAACTTTCAATGCATAGTTGAGATACCATTGACAAGGTTTCAAGTTGATATTCAAATTTAATGCTGTCAAACCGATTATAAAGTTCGCGACGGGCGGAGGTGCGTTTAGGTTAAAACAAGAAAATAGTTTCTTGGGGAAAAAAATCATATTTTTCTTTGAAAAATAAAAAAAATTTGCAAGTGCAAATTGATTAAGTGATTCCAAACAAATTTCTAAAATACTGAGGATACACCCGCTTTATTAAAAAAAAATATGAGTGCAGCAAATGTAGCAACTGTTCCGGGTACTGGTTCTGTGCCGAGCAATAAGGAAGGTGCGCCAGCGGCGATTCCAGCACCGATACGTAAAGGCATCGTTAAACAAGTAAGTGCAAAAATGAATACCAGTTTAATTAATTAAATTAAATATAATTGATTTAAA